ACGTCCAGCACCGTCCTCTGCGGCACAAACTGATGGAGATGGAGGATCTGCCACCTCCTGAGCACAACTTCCCAGCTGAGGCAAGCGATTGCTGCATGGGCTTCTGTTTAGGCTTGCTGCTTTTTTAATTTTTTTTTTTCCCCTTTTTTTTTTAAGCCATTCATAAGGGACTGGTACAGAATGTCCCACCACAGACAGCACCAGTTCAAGACTGAAGAGCCTCCCTTATACCAGCCTAAAATATTCTCATCTCTCATGAGCCGATGCCCCCAGTGCTGAAGCTGATTTCCATTCCTCGCGTTAAAACTCAAAAAATAACACCGAGTGTTTCCATAGCCAGGTAAAACCACAGAGCAAGACTGCGAGGGAAGGAAGGAAATGAAGCCCAGTTGGTGTTAATTATGCAAAACAAGATGGGACTTAAAGGATGTGAGTAATGTCTGGGTACAACAGGTGCCTGATAAGAGAGGAGGACACCCAGACCTTTCATCCGGGCCGCAGAAGCAGGCAACTGCGATAGCTTCATGTATATACAGAGATAACGCCACTTAGCCCCCTCCAGGGAGGATTACAAACTTCACCGAGTGCTTTCATACGAAGCAGAGGGGACGCGCTGCCCCCGTGCCGGGGAGCCTGGCTGCCGGGGAGGGGCCCCACTTTTCAAGGCAGCAGGGTAAAGCTCAGGAGGGGCCCAGCACTCGCCTCTTCCCACCAGAAATCGGGGGGCTGCCCCGGCAGCCATCCGCCCGTCCCCGTCTGGGTACAGCCGTGGGCTTTCCTCTTGCCTCCCACCAGGCTGGGGGGTGCAACCCAAAAGGGAGCTCCCGAGAAGTGGCATCTCCCAGGAGAGCAACAGGCTCAATCATTTCCAGTCCTCCCAGATTCGGCTCAACTCAAGAGCTGCACCCAAGCCTAATATCCCTGCAGCTAAGCTGGCACTTCTATTTTCTGTTTGGCATCTGGTTTTGTGTTTGGCAGCACCTCATTTCTGCTTCGCAGAACCTGATTCCTATTTGGCACCTCGACACAGACCCGGGTCAGGCTGTGACTGATAGCCCACGATGCCAGCGCCAATGTAGTGGTCACTGTTTTGACAACATTTTTGTCATTCCACATCTACCCTCTCTTATTTATTTCCAGGCATGACAGACCAGCCCGGTAACTAGGGAGGGGAGGTGTGGGGGGGGGGCTTTGGCGACCCCCGTTTTTGGGGGAGTGAGAAGATAAGATAATCGTGGTTTTCCCGCATTTGGCCCCGCGGTTTGTGCCTTGCCCACGCGTCGTCGTCCTTCCCCCCTTCCCCACCCCGCTCGCGTTGCCGGTTGCGCGTTTTGCCGGCGGGACCGGGGTGGGAAGCGAGGAAAAGCCATCGCTGTGTTACTGACGTTCCGAATAGGCGCCGTGTGGGTTCGTTCTATGGCTCCCGTCTCTTGTGAAGGCAGCGGGGGGGGGTAGGGTAGAGCCGCCCAGGTCATACCAAACCCAGAGCAGGGAGATGCTCCTGCGCCTTGGGAGGGATGTGATGGATGTGCTTTTCTCAGCTCTGCAATTTTTTCCATGTTTAGCTTTTCCTAAATCCCGCTGGGCCTCGTCCCGAGAGCTCCGCAGGCAGCGGGAGGCAGGCCTGCAGCGCCAGGTTTCCAAATGATCCTTCAAATTCTGCTGCTCGCTGCTGAGCTCCCCGCGAAGCCTTGTCCTCGCCTCACGCCGAGAGCCCGCTGTGCCCTGACGTGCTTCGGTTCCCTTCAGCAAATGGAGAATCTCAGGCCTCAGCAGGTCTCTGTGTGCCCTGTCCTCTGGGATCCTCGGAAACAGGTTGCTTTATCCTGAAAATGCATTCAGAATAACAATGTGTTTTTAATTTGTGTGAAAAGTCATCCTCAGGGTACAAACCAAGCCCCTTCCACTTCCTGCCCGTTTATGCCACATATATTTATAAGCTCACACCACCCTGAAAAGAAGTCCGTGTTATTTATTTATTTAGTGCCAATAGGAACATTGTGTGTTATTGCAGCTACACCCCGTAGAAAAGGTTTCTCTCTCCGCGAGTGTCTGCTCTGGCACTGATTGTTCAGTTACGTGTGTGTTTGTCTGGGAGGGCAGAGACCTCCCCAGGCAGGAGCAGAGCTCATGGGTCACAAGCAGATGTGATTTAACAAGGAAAGGACAGGAGACTCTAAAGAACAGCTTCTCTGCGTGGTACATAAAATATTAGTAGGCTTCAAGTGTACAAGACTGATGCTTCCTTTTGAGAATAAATAGAATACGGTGGTTAAAAATGTTTGCTTTGTTCTTGGTAGTGTTCTTTACAATAAAATGTTGCGTGAAGGACAAGGCAAGCGTAGAAATTCTACGTCTAGGATTTTGAAAACTGTTGAATAAATGGGTAATGGCAGCTTATGTAGAAGAAAAAATTAAAAAATAACATCTCGCTGTATTTAGTGCTGAAAACCAGCTCAAAGCTGGGAGACTCAAATGCCTGAGGAAAAAAATCTGCTCTGATCCCATCATTTTCTGACAGTAGCACACGCACAAGTTCCCAGCCTTGCTCTGTGTTTTCCCAGTGCGCTGTAGCGTCGCAGCAGTGCGCGTTGAGCATCTCCCAATTGAAGGCATTTACGTGTGGCTGCTGGGTTCTGTATTTCGGGGCCGACACGCACAGGGGAAGTTCTTGGTGCAGGACAGGGAGCATCTCCCTGCGAGACCCCGGCTGCCTGTGTGGAACTGCAAACCGTGGCGTAGCAGCAAAGGCGGCTGATGCTGTAATTACGGGGTAGTTACAGGCGAGCCCACCTAGACAGTATGCTCTTGACAAAAGCAATGAAACCAAAAAGAGGAAATAAAAATCATTGTTTGTGTGTATGGAGGGGTAGGAGGAAAATGGGGCCTGACCATATGGTTCTAGGGAGAGAAAACTGGGAGTGAGAAAACTCCGAGTGTTGCTAGTATCGCTGCGAATTGTATGAAACCTGTGTAAGCTTAGCATTCTAAAATGGTAGATCTTTGACTTAATTCACCTCTTTTTTTTTTTTCCTTCTGCCTCCATCCCTCACACATTTAAAGCATATCTGACTATTTCTTCCCTATGGACAGAGTGGTTTCTTGCTAGAGCTCATCCCCTTTGCTACGCTCGGGCGTGTGGGGCGGCTTTGGGCTGGATTCCTCCAAGCGGCCGTTCCCGTTTGCATCGGTGGGCCCTGCTTTGGGTCAGGATTCAGCAGCCGAGCTGGGGGTCACTGAAGCAAAACCCCAGCGCGAGGGTAGTGTGTTGGATCTCCCAGCTCTTCTGATTTCCCCCTGCAAACAGGAGGAGCTGAAGAGGCGAACGCTGCTGGGGCAGGGCGTGTGTGGGAGGGCTGGCCTCTCCCCTCAGCCCTGCCGCCCGTCTGGTGCTCTGCCCCTCAAACCTCCCCGTTCCTCTCTAAAACCGAGATCGTGCCACTGCCTGCGAGGGCGGGGCTGTCCTTGGAGCGAGGGCTCTGTGGGGTTGATCGAGTGCCAGGGAGGAGTGTCACGTTATCATCGTGGGACTCTGGAAGCCGAGGCTTTAAGAGAAATACCACTTATCCTGAGACGTGTCATGTGGTTCTACGTGTTGGCAGTACCGCTGATAGAGAACTCTGCATTCCTTTCTTCTGCAGGAAATTAATTACTTATTCGTTTCATGCACATTTAAACCCTGAACTGGCTGTAGATGTTAGAATGCGATTTCTTCCCTGGGATGAATCGTGGCGCTGCCAAAGTTGTGTTGCCTATAAAGTAAATACTTTGATTTTGTTCTTGCATATCCTTGGAAGAACTGAAGAGTTACCTGTGCTTGGTGATAGAGGCTCCATCCTATCTTCTGTAGGCTTTGTGTTGCTTTAACTGCCAGGTTCGGGTCATATTATTTGTTTTGCTGAAACTGTATCAAGCAGCAAAATATTTGTCCAGCTGATATAATACTGGCTCTTCCTGGAACCTCCAGTATCTGCCTGTCTCTTTTCCTTCCCAATGAGGACAGAAAATACTTACTGTCATCATCCAGCTGAGCGCTTTGGAGTCACCTTGTGTCCGTTCTGCAATCAGTAGAACAGCTATAATTACATGCACGTTTCAACCCAGAGTTAGTTGTGAGAGGGGCGGGTTTGGCTGTTCAGATGGAAGCCAAATGTGGAGAGGTGCTGAGACAATTTGGCTCTGGATGGCCGTAGCCAATACTAAGAGCTGCTCAGGGTTTCCCCTTTTAAATTCTGAGCAGTAGAAGTGCCACCACCCTCCTTCAGTGCTCCCCTTGGATTATTGCTGCTGCTCCCCAGAGGGGTAACGGCTCAGGTGGTCTTAGCACTGTGTAAAGCATTAATTCAGCAGCAGACTACAGTAAGGTGACATCCAAAGCGGATGTTTTGTCCTCTCCATGGGTGATCCCGTAAAGTGTGTGTTGCTGGTTACTGTTTGGAAAGCCCTGAGAGTCTTGGGTCCGTACCTGCTACCACCCTGCTAAAACAGTGGTGCAGGATAAAGGCCCCTCTCGGCACCGCCAGCACCTCTGCTCCTCGTCCCCTGGGCCAGCTCTACAGCGTGCTCACGCCTCAGACACGCCTCTGGACGTGTTGTGCCTCGCAAGGCCGTAATCCACCCCCAAACAGATCAGACACCCGAGTCATACGCACCTGTGTGGACGGGGTTTGTCGGTGTCCTGCACCCAGCGGCAGCTGGAGATCAGTTTTCTTCCCGACTGCTGGCAGCAGGAGATGATGTCGTGTGAAGAAACCGTGTGTGTAAGCGAGCACTGAACAGGTAGCCACAGATGCAGAGTATTGCGGGGCTGTGTAGTCTGCTCTGTGCAGCATTCACATAACCTGCCTCTGAAAGCACGCAGGGGTTTCAGAGCTCGGCAGTTGGGCTGCCTTAGAGGAACGTGTGTTACCATCTGTGTTTTTAAGGTTATATTCCTTTTTCCCT